ATACCACATCTGAGAGCAGAAGACTTAGGGCTCAACAGATTCTGTCTTCTGTGGCATTAGCTACCCCTTCCAGTTTAGTGTCATTTGCAGATTTGATGAGCATCCCCTCAATTCCTTCATCCAAGTCATTTATAAAGAGGTTGAACAAAAACGGGCCCAGGACAGAACTCTGAGGCACCCATTTGTTATTTTTTCCAGGATGACGAAGAACTGTTAGTGAGCACTCTTTGGGTTTGGTCAGTCAACCAGCTACAAATCCACTTAACAGTTACCTCATCCAGCCCACATTTTAGCAGCTTCTCCGCAATGGTATCTTGGGGGACTGTCAAAGTCTTACTGAAATCAAGAGACCATACATCCACAGCATTCCCCTGATCTACCAAGCATCTATCAAAAGAAGAAGTGAGAGTCGTCTGGCATGACTTGTTTATGAGAAAAAGTTTCCACAGTGAGGGACTTTCAGTCTCTGTTGTGGCTGAGTCTATTATGCAAAAATTGTGATTATGCATTGTTGAGGTTCCGTTATATGGGAAAAGCTGAGGTTGCCTGGAAACATATGTACCATCTCCTGTCAAGTCCAGGTTAATTGACTAATTAAATTTTCATTAGAGGAATATGTAGCAAAACCTCTTACTTGGGATAAGGCATCTCCAGCCTCATTTCTTGCACACGTCCATGTATGCTTCTGACATTGGAAAGTCTCAACCTCAAATGCAAGCATATGAAATAAAATATCATCTGAATTTTCTGGTTTCATGCTGGATGATGGAGAGTGTTAATTTCAGAAGAGAGCAAACACATTTCTTCCTATTCTTTAGTTGTTTGCACCCCCCTCCCCAATATTCAGATTTCTACTTCAGATTGGAATGAATAAACATGAACTGTTGACTAATCTTGACTGTCCTGTTACCAACCAGAATTACCATCTATGTTGTTTACTCCATTATTCCATTCATATATATCATTGTTGATTTTACTATGCAATGCAAATCGCACCGTTTCATCCAACACAATGCAAGGATAATGAAAATAAAGGTATTCTTGGATGTGAAAGCATTTATCTAGGATGGTGAGTTCAGCTCAGTTATTAACCATATTTTAGCTAAGATTTGCTGTGTACCCACCACCATCACCACATTCATTCACCATAAAAGTGGGTGGGATATTCAGAGACTTTAAGGGCAGGATAAAATTCTAAATATTTTCAGGTGTGGGTGGTAAAACAGGCAGCAGTGTTGCAATCAGTTTAATCCCTATGTAATGCTGCAGTCCTAATCCTTTTTACCTGGAAATAAGACCCACTGAAATCAACAGAACTTACTTCTAAGTAGACATGGTTAGGAGTGTGCTGAAAGCAACAAGCTTTTCTGATCAACAACAAGCAGATAGATTCTAGCAAACACTTCTAATTTCTCTGTGTAACTGGACACTAGATAACCAAAACAGTAGATCTTCTACCATTCTAGCTCTGCAAGCCCATTTCTGTCTTCATATAGAATATTGGCGACACAACCTTCAGATACTATGACATGTTAGAAATGCATGATGCTGAAAACATTTTTGTCCTCCCAGGTGTTAAGTACTTTCAAAAGCTGAACATCACCAGGGGAATTTGTTGGAACCAGACAACAGGGCAACATTGTTTTGAGGGTCTATGCAGCTAATGCTATAGCTGTGATACTTTAAAAGAAAAAACAACAACTGTGTTTTATGTTTAAGAAATATCAAAGCCATCAGGGACTGGCCTTAAAAAGACCCCAATGTGTTATATAGGGTGGCTTATCTTTTGGAACAACAAGGATAGGGTTATACCCTGTAAGAGACCTATCTATATCTTCATTGGTGTAGGTAGTTTCTGGAATCTTCCTAAACTATGCATATTTTTAACTTCACAGATAGAAGTGCAAAAATATTTTTTAAATACAGTTTGGATACTCAAGCAATGCAGGTTACATATTTTAGGGTTCTTAACAATAGTTATCAACTTTGTGTCATTTTTATTTGTCCCTAAGTTAATGAGCAAGGGGACGCGGGTGGCGCTGTGGGTAAAAGCCTCAGCGCCTAGGGCTCGCCGATCGAAAGGTCGGCGGTTCGAATCCCCGCGGTGGGGTGCGCTCCCGTTGTTCGGTCTCAGCGCCTGCCAACCTAGCAGTTCGAAAGCACCCCCGGGTGCAAGTAGATAAATAGGGACCGCTTACTAGCAGGAAGGTAAACGGCGTTTACGTGTGCGGCTCTGGCTCGCCAGAGCAGCGATGTCACACTGGCCACGTGACCCGGAAGTGTCTCCAGACAGCGCTGGCCCCTGGCCTCTTGAGTGAGATGGGCGCACAACCCCAGAGTCTGTCAAGACTGGCCCGTACGGGCAGGGGTACCTTTACCTTTACCTTTAAGTTAATGAGCAGCCCTGTTCCTGGTTTTCACATAAGACTGGAGAAATGTTGGCACTGCCTCTGAAATAAACCTTTTTAAAAAAATGAATTTACTCACATAAATCAGTTTTTATATGAAAAACTGGCGTGCTTCAATTCCTGAGAATGTTGTATTGCTTACAAACTGGGCCAGAGGGTCGATACAGTAATAAAAACAAAACCCAGAAAGTCATGATTTGTATTGACGGATTGTATATCTGCGAAGAAAGCCGAGCACAAAAAAGGTTTCTTTTCCTGAATTTAGTAGATTAGATTTCTCTGTTATGCTGCTGCTACTTACATATTAGTGTAAGGAACGATACTAAAGTAAAATGAAACTGAAGTCAACAATATTAATACAAGGATGTTTCTGAAAGAAATGATAACATGGTTGCCTCCACTGTATACTGAAAGATGTCATTATCTTTCCAAAACAGCTTTATAAAGATGTATAAATACATACTTCAAATACAGAACTTCAGAGAAAATACTGTCTTATGAGAAGTTATTATGAAGGAGCTTCAAATGCACCTTCATTTTACAACTCTTGTAAATGGCAGTCAGAAGCTACACGCTGATAACCGTGAGCCTCCTCATGCATGATCCTCAGTAACTGCAGAAAGCACCAGGGGAAGCAAAAACAAAACTTACAAAATTAAGTTTGTAAGTGGATCTTGGATCAATCCAGTACCGGTTTCCAGAGCTACATTGGGAATGAGTGCCTCTGTCTATTCTGAGAATCATTTAATAGCACAAGAGCCCTAATTTAACAGGATATTTACTTTTTCTTAAAAATCATATCATTGGTCTAAAGATAGTCTGAATACAATTTGGGAGGAGAGGTGTATTTACACTTTCAAGTTCTATTCTAATGCTTTATTGTACATATAGAAACGTTCCAGTTACAGATAGGTAGCCGTGTTGGTCTGCCATAGTCAAAACAAAAAAAATTCCTTCCAGTAGCACCTTAAAGACCAACTAAGTTAGTTCTTGGTATGAGCTTTTGTGTGCATGCACACTTCTTCAGATACACTGAAACAGAAGTTGCCAGATCCTTCTATATAGTGAGAAGGTGGGGAGGGGTATTACTCAGAAGGGTGGTGGGAATGGGTGATTGGCAGATAGCTGTGATGAGCCTGTTGACGACTCTTAACGACTGCAATAGGTCTTACAGGAAAAAGCAAGGGGTGAGAAGGTGAAAAATGGCTTTGTCATGTATAATGAGATAAGAATCCAATGTCTTTGTTCAGACCAGGTCTCTCCATGGTTTTAAGTTTGGTAATAAGTTGCAATTCAGCAGCTTCTCTTTCCAGTCTATTTCTGAAATTCCTTTGTAGTAAAACAGCTACTTTGAGATCTTGTAGAGAATGTCCTGGGAGATTGAAGTGTTCTCCTACTGGTTTCTCTGTCTTGTGATTCTTGATGTCAGATTTATGTCCGTTTATTCTTTGGCGTAAGGTTTGGCCTGTTTGTCCAATATAGAGAGCTGAAGGACACTGTTGGCATTTGATGGCATACACAATGTTAGACGATGAGCAATTAAATAGTCCCGAGATGGTATGTGTGATGTTGTTGGGGCCAGTAATGGTGTTGTCCGGGTGTATGTGGCAGCAAAGTTGGCATCTGGGTTTATTGCAGGCTCTGGTGCCAGTGTCCGTGTTAAGTCTGGTTGTAGTATTATTGTGGGTTAGGAGTTGTTTAAGATTGGGTGGCTGTCTGTAGGCAATGAAAGGTCTTGTGTGCGTAAGGTAGCTTCTAATCCTGTAGGTTGCAATGGACTGGGGAACGTAGGCAATTTTCCTCTCACCCCTAGAGCCCACAGCTTTCCCCTAAATATGTTTTGTTGTTGTTGTTCAGTATGATCACATTGCATCTATATTATCAATATTATATAGCATCCAATTTGCTGAATCAGTGTGAAACCTGTATAGATTATATATTCTGTTAAACTGGGCAGACACAAGATATCCTCATATACTTAGAATGCACTTAGTATTGTTTGACTTCTTATTCCTTATACACGGTAGTAACAAACCACAAAACATAATAGTAATGTATAGAATATTCAGATTAAGAACATCTGAATTCTGGGATAAAAATATTCAGTATAACAAAAGGAAACACAATTTGTACTGTCAGAAAATCGCCATATCGTAGTGAAAGTCTGGGAATCAATAGGGAATTGTGTAGGAAATATGGGAAAGATTCTGTATTAAAAATCCCTGTCTCAACTCCTGAATGTTTTCATTTTCTCAAACTGCTTTCTGAGCTATAAGCACATAATTTCCTTCAGTTGCTAATGCTTTCTTAAGTAAAAGAAGGCATACATCTCTTTTTTATATCAATAATGGAAAAATGAAGTGCCTAAGATTCTGATATCCATGATAGTTTTCCAGAATAAAACAATTATTTATTTCTGCTCTTTTGCTGCAGAAATACTGTTTGTTGGTAACTGTTGTTTACTGTTGTATTCAGAAACCTGTCCACCTTGACTTACACAGGGTGCCATAATGCTCAGCATCATTTAATCAGTAGCATATAAATCAGCCTGCCTTCCTACCATGTAATTTGTGTTCTGTTTATTCCTTACAGGTGAAATCTGTGCTTTTAAAATCCATGGACAGGAAATGCCCTTTGAAGCTGTGGTGCTAAACAAGACATCTGGAGAAGGTCGTCTTCGAGCAAGAAGTCCAATTGACTGTGAACTGCAGAAAGAGTACACATTCATCATCCAGGCATATGACTGTGGCGCAGGGCCTAGTGGAACAAACTGGAAGAAATCTCACAAGTGAGTGACAACTGGGAGAGCGAGGCAGGGACTGTGGAATGTATTTACAATTCATGCTGAAGAGAATCTTTTAATGCTTTGCTTGCCAATGCTAGTGGAAATCAGATCAAAGTACTTTTATCACAGGAGATGATTTTTCAGCCTGTTCACTTCTGTTCACTCTTCCTGACTGCCTGAAATTGACTTCTTTTTATAGTGCATTCAACTGACACGTTAAAGGTCCTAATAGGACTCTGGATCAAACTGTCTGCTGTTGGAAAAGCCCTACCATTAAATAAATTGGTGACTTTTTGAAACATAAATACTGAGTGTTAATTGATCTTCATGTAATCAAATCATATTGAATTTCCTTGCTTCTTCATCTTCCTTTTTATATTTTCAGCATTCCTGCAGCATTGATTATTATGTTGGTGGGCATTCTTATTTATGTCATATAATAATCATAGATAAGATGGAAAATGGTTATTTTGTGCAAGCATACAAAGTATTTATGTATGAAATGGAAAATATTGCTTGATCCAGATTTACACCTTCTTTAAGTGTGAGAGGATGGGAAAAGTTCAAGAAGCTATGATGCTGTGATCCAAAGAAGCTTAACAAGTTATTGCCATAGGGTTCTCCCCAATCTTAGTTCTACTTAGAGTAGAACCAATGGAATTCATAGGCATGACTAATATGGGTTTATTCTAATAATAATAATAATAATAATAATAATAATAATAATAATAATTTATTTATATCCTGCCTTCCCCAGCCGAAGCCGGGCTCAGAGCAGCTAACAACAATAAAAGTAACACAGCATTCTAAAATCAATTCATTTAAAAATCATTTCAAAATCAAATTAATGGCAACCATCGGGCTAGAGTTCTGTGAGGATTACCAAAGGAGGGGTAATGGCCAGAGGTCTGGTGGAACAGCTCTGTCTTGCAGGCCCTGCGGAAAGATGTTAGTGGGTTTACTCTGAGTTGGCTACAAACCTAAATCTCAAAATCTGAGTTATGCAAGGCCACTTGTGCAGAGCTCTCTCCTAACCCCCTTTCTAATGTGTAGTTCTGGTGGCATCACACGTAGCATATACTCCAAAATTTCTCTGATGAAAATAGGGATATCCCCATTCCATAATGAATTAATTAATAATACTCCACCCATCTGACTGGGTTGCCCCAGTTACTCTGGGTGGCTTCCAACATATATAAAAACATAATAAAACATCAGACATTAACAAACTTCCATATACAGGGCTGCTTTCAGATGGCTTGGGAGTCAGATAAGTCCATACCCTCCAACATTTCTCTGATGAAATCCTAAGGAAAAAATGGGACATTCCAGGATCAAATCAGAAACCAGGACAGCTTCTGTAAATCCAGCACCGTCCCTGGACAAAAGGGAGGGGTCTACAATTTGTATTTCCCACTCTGTATTTTTCCTAATTTTGCAAGGCTCAACCAAAGATGGAATCACGGACCGGGAAAGAATAGCAGTGCATGGAGTGGGTTCTGACCCCTATAGCAACAGAAGAAAAAGCTTTTGTAGTCAGAGTCAGTAAGTGTTCCACCCTTCCAGGCCAGGTGGAAATAAGCCAGCAAAGCAGGGAGATTTATTGATCGTTGGGGAAATAATTTGTTTTAGCTAAACTTGTTTCAAATCAGCATAACGGAAAGAAGCCCAGTGCCATACTCTTATTTAAAATTTAGAAATTGTTCATAGACTCACAGTGTTTCATTTTCCGCAGCAGTTCTTTGTTTAATTTGAAAGTTGACATATTTGAGCACAAAGTAATGCAAATACAATGGAGTGCTGAAATGTAAAGTCAAGTAATGCAATAATTTATTTCAACAGCGCCTCAATTTAATGCATATATTTTAGTTTTTACAGCTATTTCTTGCATGGGTTCCCATTCATGTTTAACTTTTGCATTTTCTACATGTCTTTCCTCTTATTTGATTGTAAGGATTGTGTGAAACTCGCTTTTACATTTTATTCTACTTAAAATAAACATAAAATATGTACATTTTAAACGTTTACACTTAATGACAGGCTTGGAATATGCATTGATATTTGCATTCTATTGTGAGACTCAAACTGATCTCTCTTCGTTTTAGGGCTGTGGTCCATATCCAGGTAAAGGATGTCAATGAATTTGCACCAACTTTTAAGGAAACATCCTATAAGGCTACTGTGACAGAGGGAAAGATCTATGACAGTGTATTGCAGGTGGAAGCCATAGATGAGGACTGTTCTCCTCAATACAGCCAGATATGCAATTATGAAATTGTCACAACAGACGTTCCATTTGCCATTGACAGGAATGGTGAGTGCTTACCGTTGCACAGTTATGAATTCTGAGCCACATCTTTATTTATGGGTTTTTCCAGCCTGCCTTTCAGGGCACAGCCCTTCCCAGTTGACTCACAAATTAGAACTGCATAAAACAAATAAATTATAACAATTCCAGTCTGAAAGCTGCAAGAATTTAAAATTCCAGCACAGTACACTACAAAAATGTATTCAGCATGCATTTAAAGACCCGTACAGGTAGGGCCATATGAATGCATACATCTCTAGGGAGAGAATGCTGTCATTGCTAAATTGGCCCAGTCTCTAGTACTCTAGTACTCACCAGCTTGATGAAACTTACTTGACTGATGTGCAAAGTAGTCCTAAATATAGGAAGCCAGTGGAACTCTTTTTTCAGGCAATCATGTTTTGACTTTTCTCAAGATAGTCTTTCTATTCTGGTGGGCACTGACTATATCCCTAGTCAAGCTATAATATTTTGTGACAATGAAATTTGAATTTTTAATCCGAGTTTACTTTTAACTGAGTGTGCTGTAGGAAACTGCTTGAGTTATTGTTGTGGGTATCTGTTTGACAGCATTGGTGATACCATTAGCATTTCTGTGAAATCTCACCAGCACCAGCTGGTTCCATGCCCATATTTTTTAATGCCGATTTTAAAGTATATTTTTAGAACTGTCTTTATAGCGTCTGATGGCTTCAGTGCTGGAGTAGTGGAAGATATGAGAGTGCACATACCATACTTTTCCATGTAAAAGACTAGGTTTTTAAAATTTAAAATAAGGTTAAGAATCTGGGGCTGTCTTATACATGGACAGTGCATATGCCCATTTTCTAAATTTAGGGTCCCCAAAAGTAGGGGGCATCATATACATGGGGGGGGGGTCTTATACACAGAAAAATATGGTATATTCCTTCAAAAAGAGGTGATATACCCGAGGTCATCCTTGTGCCACTCCCATGACGTGTATTGCAAATTAATTGACTCTTCGTTCATTATTTAATTATTTGGTGGCTATGCACTTTTCCTTCTTCAAAATATAGATATTCCTCAACCAACAGCAATGTGCACTACACCCTCCTATAAACCCAAAAGAGTGCTGTAAACGTAATATATATCCTGTGCTGCTATTTCTCCTGTAGCAAATATATTTTCCCATCCATCATGTGGGACAAGATGTAGCGCTATTGTCTCATTTTAAAGAGAATCCATAGGGGCATCACATGAAGACTAAAATGTGGATTCTTGCTCTCTCTCGCTCTCTCGGCAAAAAAATCATTAGTTCCATCAAATTTAAAACCCTCAGTTGTGTTTGTTTCTGAGAACCACCACAAGATGACCACTGTTTATATCCTTTACTACAGAGCAGGGAGTAACATCTCTTTTCCACCAGAACAATTTAATATTTGTCTAATTTCAGAGATGAGCATCTTTTATATTTGAAGTTCCATCTGAGGGTTGCCAACACTATAAATTAAAAGTGTGCACAGGGCTTTTGTTTTCTCTTAGCAGCCATTTCATGCTGCATTGCTTTATCAGAAGCATCTCCCCCATTTGATATGGATCTGTCTTTATTTGAGCCGATTTCTCACAGAGCGCAGCTGAGCATCAAATCATAATATCCAGTTAGCAACAGTAAAATGCAAATGGTGGTAAAGAGAATCCCTGCTCTCATTACAATAGCATGAGTGGAAGGGAAATGTTTTGAATATTGTATGGAGGGAGCAATCAAGATGATTGAAATGGAGTTTAAGTAATCAAGAGCTATTTAGTATAGCTGTTTTTTATTGGAGTGGATGCAATGACATGGAATTTTAGAAATGAAGTATAAGGTGCACGTGCTGAATAAAATGTGCATGTGCATGATTCCTTTTGTATTTCTAGATAATTTCTCTTTATTCCAAATTTTGAAGACAATCTGAGTATCTGGAGTTTTCAGTTTTGATACATTTTGTTTTGAGTACTGCATAATTTCAACAGATTTATCATGCTTGCTTGGGACATGCATCTCAACACATCTGAAAGCAATTATCTCCATGTTCAGGAACATAACTGACTGAGAAGAGTAATTGTTCTGATGGTAGGGGAACCTCTTCATTTTGCCATACCTGGCTTTATCTATGCCAGAAGACAGCATGCTGCCAGCCTGGTAGAAACTAGCACATTTTATCTAATGCATAGGGGTGCAACATGGCTAATGCCAGAAAAGCTTATCTTGATAGTAAAATCCCAGCAGCACTGTTGCTTCCATTTACTGGGGGGAAAGGCAGTGGCAGTGAAATTGGAACTGCACTGGTGGAACCAACCAGAAATGCTGGCATACTGAAAAGCCCCAATATCACCGCCACCTCATCAATCCCCATCATAGTAATTGGCAGTGATGTTGCTGCCGGGAGGCTATTGCTGCCGTTCTGCCCAGTGTATGAGCTGCTCCTCCCAGAATGAGAGCAGGAGTAGAATCCTTAGGACCAGAATGAAATTTTAAAAAGGCAAAGGAAGTATGAATTCCTTTGCCATGGCAGAGCTTTTATGGGGCAAGGAGTGATGAGGTGCAGAGACAGAAAACCCATTTAGGAGTTCTAAGAGACTGATTTCCTGTCACCGTGACTGCTTTGTTGAAATCACACTGTGTTCAGGGTTCAGAAACCAGTTATGATCTTAGAAGAAAAATGGCTGAAGAGGTGTTCCCAAGGGAACAAGAAGGGTGGTTAGTGGGCCCTGAATAGAGAACACTAGACATTTGGTGAGTGTGTGTTGTTGATAGTTGAAATGTCACAGAAAAAAAAGCTAATGGTTTTCAATGACTTGTGAGGTTATTTCCTAATTGCATTAGGAAAATTGGGACATTGACTCTTAGATGTCTTAAGATTTCCATAGCCTGAAGCACAGAGGGCCAGGATCACTCCTTTCCATTTTAAGCATTTAAAATAGGATCTTTTTCAGATAATAACAAAGAATACACCCCCCAGAACAGTACAATACTATGTTCCAACATCAAATATTCAAATGTTCAGTACAAGCTAGTTCTCTTTTGTTTTTCTATAAATCTCCATGAGATGCAGGTGGCCTGTATCTATTAACAGCATATGAAATAAAACATGGCTATGACAAGTCTCATAGCTGTCATGAGATGGATGAATTCCTGTACTTCTACAGCAGAAATGATTGCAACAGAATTTGAACTCTGGTGGCATGTAATGTCAGATTGGACTGGTCAATGAAGGTTGAGCCATGTGTCCTATCACACTATTAGTGAGGGTGACCTGACTAATAGTGTGTGATGTACTATGAAAAATGTGACACAGTTTATTTTATTAAGTAAACCCCCAGAGTAAAATGCCTTTCTTCAACCAATGGATATTGCCAAATCCCACCATCTTTGGAAACAAAGGTACAACGGAGGTGGTGAGGGCCTTGGTACAGCCCTAATAAAACTATGCTTGCTTGTTAAACCCTCTGTATGTCATTGCCATTCTTTGTTTCAAAGATGAATAGCCCAACTTATCACTGGAAATTGTTTTAAGAGCAGCTGGGTTACAATAGCAACAGCAGCAGTATCCCACCAGTTTTGGTATCCTCCTTTCTGACCGTTGACTACCCTAATCCTATTAGGGTACATCTCATGGTTCTCAAGCTGATTCAGGAATTGCAAAGATCCTGAGTTCTACTGCTGTTGCTGCCGCCACCAATTCCATAGACAGATACTGTACAATAGCAAAGAGCAGATATTGAGAAGAGCTTCTGATATTTTACTTTTCTGTCCTTCTAAAAAGCATTGTAATAGGATAAGTGCTGGTAAAGTCTTTCTCTGGTTGGCATCTAGACCTGCCAGTCATAAAACTCCACACTGACAAGTGCTTTCCTTTGATAGAAAGACTCAGTATAGTTTTCAAGTGGTTCTGAAGCTTTGTTCACCTTGGACCACTTTGGTCTGATTCACTTTGGACCACTTTGGTCAAGAGCCCGTTTACTTTGGAAGTGATCCAAATACCACCAAAGCAGTGTGCTCTAGTTTGCTCTTCAGACTTCATCCACAGCATATCCACATCCTTAATGTATAATCATTTAAATATAGTTAAGGATGAGATGGAAGATGAAGTGTAAAAGAAGCTTACCCTCATAATCCAAAATTTATCCAGAGTCCTGGCAACTCCTGCTCTTTACTTTCTTTTTGTGATAACACTGTGCCCTATATACCTCACTCATTTACCTGGTTGAAAACTTTGCTCTCTAAGCCTTCCCATTCCACAGACAGTCAAGTCTCTGAAGGGCTCTTAAACCCCATCACATTGTAATGGATAGAAAAAATATTGAGAAACCAATTCTGCTCAATTCCTTTTAGTCTCATTCACAGGATGAAGGCCCACATGTATTTTTAATTTTTATTTTTTTGGTGTGCAGTTTTTAAGTCCAATAATGTTATTAATACACACATTGATTCAACAGCCCAGGTACATGTTTTAAACCTGTGTCTCTGTCTTAGTATAGGTTGCTTGCTGCATTTTCTTCATCTGTAGAGGAATGTTCTATTTGTGTCATGGGATAATGAGCACAGAGCATTGACTCACATTTAAGAGAAAACTGCAGCCCCTGCAGCTTCACCTGAGCCCTGTAGAGCTGTGGATGACTGTTGTAGTGTTTTATTTCCTTTCCTCCTAGGCGCTCCATGGCTCGAGTAGTTTCCCCCCACCTGATTAAAAGTGTTTGTAGAACTCCATCTTGTACCCCATGGATATATCAGCTTGCAACTTTTTATTCAGCTGTAGGGGATATTAAGATTGATGTGATCATTGGGACTGTGTTTGTTAAGAGCACTGTGCAAATGGAAACTGTGCTTATAATGTAGCCCAAATGTACAGAGGACCTTTTTTATATTTATTTAATGGCTAGAGTGACTGCCAGACCTTGGGAGAGAGGTAAGTTGCTAGCTATTTAGCTGTCACGAGAATGAACTCGTTTCTGATATTGTTCTCCTGGAGGCTGTTTTCAAGCTGGTTGAAGTCAATGGCAAGTTGATGGAGTGATAGCCATCAACCTGAGTGAGTTTTGGAATGAGTGCTCATAGACAGTTACTTTTGACACGTGCTACTAAAGAAAAGTTGGAGGAAGGAAAAGAGAGAGAGAGAGAGTACACACACACACTTTGAATTGATTATATACCTTCACACCCATTTTCTCCTATTTCCTCTTCATGCTGCAGCCTCCAGTGCTACATCCTGTGCTATTATGGAAGTACAGGAAGTTGCAGTGGGAATGAGGAGCTGGCTCAGCTCCCTTCTTCCCACAGAGGTTGGGATACATGACCCATTGTTCCTGCTGTTTACCACAGGCTGCAAAATCTGTCCTAAGGGGTGGGAAGAGCAGGTCGAGTCCATGGCAATGCATGGCTTTCCCCTCCCTTTCCTGTCTTCATGATAGTACAGAATCTATTATAGTTACCCAGGGTAGACACCAGAAGTGGCTCGCTGTCTCTTAACAGGAGGGAGAGGGTCAAGGCACATGGAGGTCAGTACAGCTTAGGCCAGAGCACCAGATAGGCTCTTCCACTGTTAACACAATGTGCCAAACTCCCCACCACCTCACCTGACACCCTCTCAGTAAGTGGCTAGGAAATTAGTGTTGCCATTGTGTCCCACTGGACAAGTCACTACTGGTATTAGGCACTTAATGATGGTAATTTTTCTGAGATATTCTGCTACTGGCATATGTCAACATTTGCTGAGTTTCCACTTACTGTATGGCCTACTTACCACTGATCTACACAGGTTCTGTTTAGTTTCAGATTAGTTATTTTGCATATTCATTTTCTTTACATGGATTTATTTAAATTCCAGATGTGTAAAATGGTGTATCTAGGGGTTCGCCAGGGAAACTCATGATTTACCAAATGGCAATTGGGTTTTCTGTCGGTCCATGCTTTTTAAGCATGGGACAAGTCGAAGTATGGAGAAGCCATAGAATCCTATCAATTTCCAACTCTCTGAGCTGAGGTTCTTGGACTTCAGACTTTCTAAGCTTTGGAACTTGTACTAGATAAAGTTAATTTTTACCTGTGTATATCATGTAAGCTGCCGTCTCAGGCTTTGCCCTAAAAGGTTCCGTAAAATACATTAAATAAACAAATACATCCAGGTGTTTTGCCTCATGGGGGCTGGGAATTGGGCCATACATAGCATAAAGCTTAAAATTTAAAAGCTAAGTGAAAAGAAAATTAGTTAAATAAAGAACATGTAATAAATCTATGATCAACCTATATTTTAAAAATCTCCAAATGACCTTCCAGAAAATCTTTTTAAAATACTCATAATTCTTGAATTGCATCTCTTTTTTAAAAAAAGCATTAATGAACTTCAAATAGCTTTAATGAACACACTGATGATTTTTTAAATCTTGGGGGCCAGTTGATATGCCAAGGAAGTTCCAGAAAGCTGCTAATGTTGATTTATCCAACTTCAGTGTCTTGGGAATTCTCCCTGCAGATCACAGAGTAAAGCATTTGTAAAGCGAACACAAAGTAGACAAAGGAATATTTATAAAAGGAAATGTTAATAAAATAAATACACCAAATAAATAATAAGCAAATAACAAAAATATGATAAGTAGACCCGTTGTATAAAGTGCTAACTTGGTAGAAGAGAAGCATTATTTAGACAATTTGTGTAAACTATTTGCTTTTGCGATTTTAGTAGAAACTCAATATGTTTCTACATGTCTGTGAGTTCATATACCAAGCTAGTGCCAAATGTATTGCTCTGATTTCCTTTGGACCACATCAGTGAGGCTGGGTGGAGGGTCTTAGCATCTAGGCAGCCCAGGACCTCCATACACACTGCCAAGGCTTGTGTCGGGCCGGGAGGTCATTTCAGTGTGGCAAACATAGCAATTTGACTTCACCCCTGGAGGCGCACTCCATTCTCTCTTGAGACAAATAGATGCCAACAGAACAACATATACTATGGGTGTCATCCAATGCCTCTTTACTGAAACTTCAGCTAGTGTAGAATTTAGTGGGCAAGTTGCTCACTGGGGCAAGACAGTTTGAGCATATTATACTGATCCTGTTCTGACTGCACTGGCTGCCAGTTAGTTTCTGGCCCAATTCAAAGTGCTGGTTTTCACCTGTAAAGTCTTAAATGCCCCAGGACCGCAATACCTCAAGGACCGCCTCTCTATATATGAACCTACCCAGACCCTGAGATCATCCTCTGAGGCCCTTTTTCATGTGCCTCCTCTGCAAGAGGTCTGGTGGTTTAAGACTCAAAGCTAAATGCCACAGTTATTTTGGTTGGAAAGCTTAAAAATCATAACTAATTTTGACAAAACTATTTTAGTCATGTAATCCACTTTAGCGAATATGTACACTACAGTATATAGACATGAATACATGTTGAAAATGTTCACAGCTTCAGGATATGAGAAAGATTAAACATTTCTTTGCGACAGAAAACTTTAATCTGTTAGCACACATAATATGAAATGTATATTAAAGTCTGCCAGCATTCAGCTTGCAAAGGAACTGTCATTCAGCAAAAATGGCCTGAATTAAAATGCTGAACTCATTAGTTAAAGAGACTACTTTAGAATCGTAAGGTCCTCTACCGTTTCCAAAGGTGGGAACTGTAAATTCCAGTTCCTCTCTGTTCCTTTTTTTCTTGTGAACACTGCCATTTCTTTGTTACCAGGACAGGTGATTTGTCACATTTATGCTTCTGTCAGGTTGATTTTGTTGCTGCAGAATTTTATTTTTCGTCTGGTAGCACAAGATCCTATCATTTAAAAAAGCTGGTCAGATTCTCCAAAGAGAAGATAAAGGAGATGCTTTCACCACCAACTAACTTTTCCAGTGTATCCACACAAGTAGCAGAAAGTTTGATGAAGGATACTAGAAAGACAACAGACTCTGGAGTGTCACTGTCACTTATTCCTGATAATCAATGTTGCCTTTGTAAACCAGGGCCAAAGTCCATGATATTTGTGCCGCAGCGGGAGTCAGGAAACAGAGGCACCATGGACACATTGTTTCTCCTTGAAGACCCAATCACATATGCTGAGATTCCATAGGCTGTAGGAGGAACCCTAGCCTAGTGGAGCAGCTCAGATTTCATAGGCATGGGATCCTAGGTTTGAGTCCAGAATATAGCTTCTGCTTTGACATTATGATGTGGATGGGGCTGTTGATGGTCATGGTTTCCTTCTTCTTAATCAAGGGAATGGTGGTGGGGATTTTCATTCTCCTGGCACTTTAATCAGTGGAAGTTTTCATCATTGTCAGGGGTGTGCTCAGAGTATGTAGAGCTAAATGATTTGATATTTTTGTCCTGCCCTTTCAATGGTAAATGTAAAGGACCCCTGACAGTTAAGTCCAGTCACGAACGACTCTGGGGTTGTGGCGCTCATCTCTCTTTACTGGCCCAGGTAGCTGATGTTTGTCTGCAGACAGTTTTTCCGGGTCATGTGGCCAGCATGACTAAGCCACTTCTGGTGAAACCAGAGCAGCACACAAAAACACCATTTATGTTCCTGCCGGGGCGGTACCTATTTATCTACTTGCACTTTGATGTGCTTTCGAACTGCCAGGTTGGCAGGAGCTGGGACTGAGCAACGGGAGCTCATCCCGTCGTGGGGATTTAAACCACTGACCTTCCAATCGGCAAGTCCTTGGCTCTGTGGTTTACACCAATACCATCTCACCTCATCTGGGCTGTCCTGCCAATGAAGTTGCACTTGAACAATGGGCACACCACCATTTCAGAAAAACTGTACCAGTCTGTCTTTCACACGGCACCGTATCTCACATTCCATAGCATGGCAAGAATTATGCCTTATCTCATTGCAGCTTTATTATAGCCTTTCAGCCAATGTATCTCATATCTAGATTTTTGCCCTTAATGTATAAATAACCATATGGGGTTTTTTCACCAGGGCGGCACTGAATATTTTTTTCAAATGACGGTATGTCTGGATTCTGTTTTGTTTCCTGTGTCTGTTGAACCCAGTCCTGAAAGCATATGCTCCACCCTGTGTAAGAAAGTAGTGTTATTTTCAGTGTTTGAAGGCGGAGGGAAAAAAAGGAAAGTTAGATTAATATTTGGGAAGGTCAGATCTTTCCTTTTGTCCTTTCTGCCCCCACTTTCTGTTATATCTGAGTCCTTTTGTATACTTCAGGCAATTATTGCTGCTTTTATTATATGAACCCAGGATCTTGACAATGAAGCAATTGCAGTTTATTGTCCTGTTTCACACCTGCAGGGAATATCAGAAATACCGAGAAGCTGAGTTATGACAAACAGCGTCAGTATGAGATAATGGTAACGGCTTTTGACTGCGGGCAAAAACGTGCAACTGAAGATGTGTTGGTACGAGTTGAAGTCAAGCCTGTATGTAAGCCCGGATGGCAAGGTAGGGATTGTGTATTGTTCTTTCTTTGGAAATGTTGATGATGAATCTTGAGATACAAATAAAATGTTAACTCTTTAAAGTTGTAGAATAGTGGCAATTTCTCTTTTTTTATGTAATGCACTTTTCAAGTGATATAAATACTCAAAGCTGAAAGCAATGACAAAACCTTGAAAAAATAGTTCAAAACAAAATAATTAAAATATAGGGGAAAGCAGGGGAGATAAACCAACTAGTTCACTAACAGTTAGAGGCTTCCCACATTCAGAGAGCAATCCTACAGCATGGTTCAGCTCTGTCACAGGACCTGACAACCCAGTGTAACTTAAGCTGGCAAAAAGGGTAACTTAAGTACTACTTGAAAGGCTTGCTTTTCCTCTGCTAGGCTTAGGTTGGCTTACCCAGCAGCAGCCCTGTTCCTGGATCTGGCCTCTTGTGCATAGGTTTGCTCCCTTAATGATTAGGTGCCTGGCTAAAGCAAGAATGACACCATTCCTGGGATGCCTCCTAGTATTCAAGGGCAGGCAGATGGGCAGCTCACAAGGAGCGGCAGCAGCAGTAACAGTGGTCACCGCTTCTTCCAGGAGAAAGCATCAATTCATGCTGTAGCCCAGGGCCCCAGCTCTTACTTGAGGATACCATGTGCTGGCAACAAGTCTGCCTGGTTTTTTTTTTAAATTAAAGTTTTTGTTACAACTGAATAGTGCCACATTCTAGCGAGAGATGCTGGGGTTTGTAGTCATAGCATCCACTTCAGCAGGATTGGGCTTTCAAACCACACCTGCTTCCTCTTATGAGCAGTGCCGGATTTACGTATAAGCTAAACAAACTATAACTTAGAGTCCCACTCTCTTGGGGGCCCCTCAAAAAATTTAAAGGAAAAAAACAACCGGGTGTACATTTCCAAAATATCAGATAAAAAAACAAATAAAATAAAACCTACATACAGCAACAGTGTTTTGTGTTGTGTATGAGGAGATTTCACCCCTCCCATATCCAAGAATCTGCTGATGAGTCTGGTGATTTTCCAGAGAGGAGGGGCGGTGTTCTGCTCTCTACTTATTCTGCTCCAGCCTAACATCAGTCGTCAGTCAGTCAGTCAGTCAGTCAGTCAGTGTGTCAGAGAGAGAGAGACTGAGTGTTAGAGATTGTGTGTATAGATAAGGTTGCTGCTAAGAGCAGCTGCAGACACTCAGTGCAGTTCAGCTTTTTCATTTAGCTCTGTATATAGTTGTATTATAGTTGTAGATAGAATAAAGAAGATATTCTACAGAGCTGCTCTCCGAGTTGTTTATGCTCTGCTATACTCTGCTATACACTGCTGTGCGGCGACTGTCTTCTTGTGGAAGTGAATCCGGCGCTCACAACTCTAAGCTGTGAGTCCACAGCACTTTGACCTGTTCCTGTGCAGAAGGTGGTCTCTGGAAGTGCTACCCAGCTCGCCTAGCCCAGTCGGGGCTGAAGTGTATGAGTCCAGTTGGTGGCACTGGCTCAAGGGTGATGCTGACAGTGTAGGCTCCTATGATGTAAGTAATGGGCCCCGCCTGCTAGTCTGCTCCCTAAAATATCACTTGTTTGCTCATATCTATATATAGGGGGCCTACATTCTGCATGTGCAAATGGCTTTAGATACCTATTAGGTCCATAAATTACCATATAGCATATACTCAACACAAAAAACAGCGACAATTTGTTGTTGACAAAGGACAGCTGGACATATAAAGGGCCCCATTACCTTCAATAGCTTAGGGCCTCATCAAACCTAAATCCGGCCCTGCTTATGAGTACCCCTTTGTTATTGCTAGACCTTATTGCTACATTTTATTGCTAAAACTGAATGAATCTGAACACACATCTGGAAAAAGGTCCTCCCATATTATGTGTTCAGGATTCAGTTCCTAAAATGCTTTAGTTTGAGTTGATGGGTTAGGTTTCAGCCTTACGTACTACTGTTGGAGGCAGTATGCCTCTGAATGCTGGTTGCTGGGAATCTGGGATCACAAGTAGGAAGAATGCCGTTGCCCTCAGGGCCTTCTTATGGAATTCCCATAGGCATCTGGTTGGCCACTGTGAGAACAGGATATTGGAACAGATGAGCCATTGCTTTTCTTCTGTTCTTATTACTCAGCTCAGGGAACACCAGGTACTGATCCCTATTTCAAAGGAGCAAATATGTGCATTCCTCAAAAGTTAGGATATCAATGGTTTTCTCATATGTTTTAGTATATTTCTCTCTCAATGCAGAGAATACCTGAGATGCTTTGTTTGTGTGTTTTCTTTCTGATGATTTGTGACTAGTATGTGGCACCACTCAAAGGTTCATTTTTAATATCAGACTTTTATTGCAACTGATTGTCAGATGTGACCTATTTAATAATCCATTGGGATCAATGCAGAGGTAGGACAAGACCATTTGAGGTCAGACTTTAGGTCAGAATCTAGGTCAGACTCCTTTGTGATTTCTACAGGTGCTTAAAAGTTTTCTTTTTTTTAACAGAGAGCAAGCATTGCTTTTAATGGATAGGGGCATAAATCTGGAATATCCCCCCCCCCAATCCCATTTTGGAAACAAGAAACTTGTGTGTAGGTGCAGCAAAGTGTGTAGGTGGGAAAGTGCAGCAAAATATATTTGATGTGATTGTCCACTTATTTATTGTTATTTTATTTTTAGTATTATTATGGCATGAACAAATTCAAACTTCAAACAAATTTCATATCCAGGATTTTGAAATAGTTAAGTTAGTCTCCCCCCACCCCCACCCCAACTGCAAAGGTGATTGCTGCTTTTTTAAAATTCACAGCAGGTTTAGCCCTAACAAATAAATTACTGCAGGACAGAATCTGAGCACTTGTCTCTCAATTCTTCTAAGCTTTAGAATCTGCAGTCTAGTGAACTTTCAAAAAAAATGAAAGAAAAGCAATGCTTATCTTAGAGATATAAACTTGTGACCTTCTGATCTCCTGATGTGCAGAGCCTCAAAATGGAATTCTATGAAATAAGGTATTCAAAGGCTGAAACACCAGAAGTGTTTTCTTCTTCAAGATGTATTATAGCTATTGATCCTTGACTACTTAGACATTCTTTGTGTATGTGGCATAGGCTCAGTAGGGCATTGATGACCTGTGATATGTTCTGCAACTTCCTGTTTCATTGATATTAATGGAGCCATAAAAAGCAGTACCCATCCTCTGCATTCTACTTATTTATCTTGGATATCTTGGGGTTATATTCCAGATTGAACATATCCTAAAATGCCATTTATTTGGACCTTGTCAAGTTTTTCATTTCACCCAAGTTTCATAGAATGTATAAATCAAAACATCTGTAGGCTATTTTGTAAGGCCTTTCTGCATAGTAAACTTTCCTGATTCGCCAGGAACCTTCATAATGTGTCTTTGATAATTGGGTTGAATGTTTCCTTGATTTAATTCTTCATCTCAAGATCTCCCTGACCATTTTGATCAGGGGAACATTTGCATATCCACAGTACTAAATTATTCTTGGGGTATGATATTACCACCCACAATGATTCTATAGAGGAATCTGCCGCTTTTGAGATTTCCAGCTTTCAGGACTCTGTGAATGCCACAGAGTAGACAGACCTTTAGTAGATAAAGTAACCAACAAAACCCTATGCCAAAGAAATGCAGAGCTAGTAATAAATGATGTGTTTTATGAAACAGAAGGGCAATAACATGAAAAAGTATACCTCTTTAAGTCGTAGGAAATATTATGTGCATTATTTATTCTTGTTTTGCAGAGGAATCAAATTTTGCTGTAGGACAATGATTGACACTTTATATGCTGTATTGTGATAAGGTGATAGAAAGATAGTGTTCAAAATCAAACAGCTGCTGAGCTTATGTATGAATTCATACTGTTGCTGATATACGGTACTTTGCACTAACAAGTAAATACAAAAATTGCAGTGATCATCCATCACAATGAAGGGTGCACAACAGCAAATGCTCTTAAAAAAAAGTTAGGATGTAATTTCTAATCAGATTTATCAATATAATTCAGGTCTTGTGAAACTGGGATATAAGAAAATGTAGAAAGGACATGCCAGCTTTCTTCAGCGCCATGCTAGTACCATGGGCAAGCCCAATAGTTCTATATATTGGGCTTTGAGGAGAATGAAAGGCATCCAAGTATGCAATATGAGACCAGACACCTACCTAGTCCAGCATCTTGTTTTCCACAGAGGCCAGCTATTACGAATCTGATAAATCTCTAAGAACATGAAGCAGCAACCCTGTATAACTGTTGCTTTCCTGCTGTTCAGAGGCATGATGCCTTTGATCCTGGAAGTATTATATAGCTGTTGATACTCTTATCCTCCCTGATCATTTCTCTAGTCCCTGATCCTACAGTATATTCTAAGTTCTACATGTTTGGATAGGCTTGCCTAAACAAAGATGTTGCAAACAGGTGCTGGAAAGAATACAGTTGAAGGTGCTTGCCTTATGTTGGGGACTTCCAGAGCGCAGGAACTGCCAGGCTAAAAGACTGATATCTTACCACTGTAGAATGAGCATTATGTGGCACTTGTAACAGGGCCAGTTCTGCAGGTGGTGTACAGCAACATTAAAGCAAAAGACTAACAGACAAAAACCTTTAAAAGCAGTACAGAATAACTGCTAAAATGACTGGCTATATGTAGTTAAGCTCATAGCATGAGTAACTGTTTAAAACTATTCTGCAGCCATTTGTGCTCCCAATTAGGTAGTTACTTCTCCAGACCCTTTGTATGCATTTTCATTGCACAACAAAATTTGATGCTTGCCCCCTTCCTCACAACGACTAGGAACACAGCCTTGACTGAATGGATTTGGCCTGGAGTGATCTATGCATGCTCATCCTTCCCCATCTATCCACATAAGCTAAACCTTTGCGTATCCTCTGGCTATTTCAGTAAATAAACTGGTAGTATCTTGACAGTGAAGAATAAGACCTTGACCTCCTTGCAGTTGAAGAACACGCCATTTCAGTAAAATCACAT